TAACTGAAGAATAATATGAAAAAAAACGTAATGCTCCGCTTGAAACTACACTTAAATATAGTTAATAATTAAAAGCTCTCTTAATTAACAAAGGCATTGTTGACCTCAGATGTCTAAAAAAGTAGAGTACGTATTTTCAAAGCAAAATTGTTACCTACGACATCTCGCTGTTGAATAAATTTTTAAATATTTGGCCGAAGAATTTCTCAAATCTCTAAAGGTTCGACCCGAAATTCCTGTGATATGAATCCCTATTTGCTCCCGAAACACTTATGTAGTTATAACTACGTTATAATGCTGAGAATTACAATTCTCATCTAATCAAATTATATATTTTTATTTTTTAAGTTATAAAACTCAGGCTTAAGTAGTAAAAAGGACTCAAATCAAAACTAACTAGTTTAAAATCAAATGATAGTACCATTTAGCTTCCGTTTCTGCATCCCTTTAATTTGAACAGTTTCATCAACCACTGAGCTATCAAGTCCTTCAAACAAGTTCTTGTGTTCGTCACAATGTTATTATCCGATTCAGAGCTCAAGGTTTGGTTGCTGATAGTTATCAAGAATATTGTAGTATGTTCACTGTCCTGGTGGTCCTTAGTTAAAAAAGCCGTCAACTTGCTACGTAAAATAAGTCTTTGTAAACCTGGTGTTAAGACCACACATTAGATTGTCACTTGAAGAGTTGGTGACCCAGGCTTCTGAAATCATATACTTTGTAAACCATATTGTTTAACATTTGGATATAAACCGTATATGCATACGCAAACGGACATATCATGACCTAATACAAATAATTAAACACTCACCCTGAACTAAAATAATTTAACGTCACCACAGCTTTAATGCTGTTGTTGTCGTAACACATGGTTTTCCATTTTCACTTACATTGTCCCCCGTTTATGTTCCTTATATACGTATCTTCTTAAAATGATTATCTTATTTTAGTTTGAAATATCCAATTGAAGTAGATTGGAAATACTATGGTAACTGTCAGGCCGTTCACTTGCTTTGATTTGTTAAAATATGGAAACATGTAAGATTTTTTCTGTGTATTGTTTTATTTTTGAATAACCTCTAGTGACACTTTACGAATGAGATTTAGTCTTTACTATAAGAAGAACAGAATTTCATTTTTATTGTGCACATGTCACATGAAACTATGCACTTCAAAGTTGAATGTGTTATTCCAGATCATCCTACTTCAGCAACTTCTCTTCTGTTGTGAATCCTAACCTTTTATTAGGAAAGTAAATGTCACAACTTTTGGATGTATATGTAACCTGGTAAACAAGTTAAATCTACATCAATTTAAAATATTCTAGATCAAGATTAACTTTAGGCTTTGTATCGGTTGTTGACTGACTGCGTTCCAACATGGTAATTTGCACAGAAGTGCAGCAGTTAAAGTTATCACACTCCGTGTAGCACAAAGGTAAAGAAAAGAGACTCAAAAGGACTCTAATGAGCAAGAATGTACGGGAGAAAGAATAGTATCATTGGAGAAACACGAAGATTTATTTGGTGTTGGATATTACAAAGAGTGAAGCATCTACATCATTGAGAATGGTTTCTCATCATACCACCAAATTTCAAGTCACTGGTTCTTAGAATCCTGACTACCCCAACCAGTTAGAATACAGCTTCCTAAGCGGCTATAACCAACAGTCAAAAACTTCATGGTTTGATTTGATTCCCCTAAGCTCTCTCCAACCTTATCTTATACTAGCTAACATCGTGTTGCCTAACACTGCGAAGTTGTTATCAAATATTTATGAAGGTATCCCATTTAGTTTGATTGTATCATTGTGATATTGATATCAGAAAAAATTTCAGGTTGGTGATCATGGAACTACTCCAGTTTGTAGAGTTATTTTCTATTCGTTTCCGACAACGTACAGTAAACATGCATTATGACAACTTTATATCATTTCCACACACCTTAACCTGGACGATTATTTGTTGTCACTATGTCAACGTTGTTTTTATGTGCCTAGTTGATGGGAGCTAGCAAAATTTATGAACCCACTGAATACCTTCAGATTCGTTGTTTGCCCTACGTACTATATGTAACTAATTTACATGGTTTGTATAAACTATGAATATGTTTAGTGAAGCTGAAAATGATGAAATAATGGAGGTAAATTACCAGTAAACTTAGTAGTGAAGTATAGTACAGAATTTCATGAAAGCATTTTATATACCGACCACATCAGCTTACAAAACTCCTTTTTGCTATCAATTCTACCATGCACTTTAGTATAATTCCGTCCAGGTTTTCAGCTAGTAGATTTTCAATCATAGTCTGTTATACCTGTTCGCTCAAACTGTAGTAGGCGGAGCCACAGCTGTTAGTTCAATGTTATGCTTAAGTCAATGAAAACCAAAAGTTGATACCATTGCGTCTCATTTGTCTTATATGACAATTTATGTAAAAATGGTCGATTATTCTCTATTTCTGTTAAAGCATTGATGTTTTCTTCCTCTGACAGTTAGCCAAGATTAGCAAGTTTTCCATATCAAGTCAGTTTTAGTTTATAACTCCCCTCGTTATTAAAAGCACTCCCGTTGACGAAAATGGATAGATTGGAGGATTACTATGAACAAACATTACTAGAGATGTTAAGTCAACACTTTATGCTTATGTCAACTTTGTATATTAAGCGAACAATCTCTATTGTATCCCTCGTAGCCGTAATATAAACAGTCGTTTACAATATGCATTCTATTCGTGTAAGTAAATAATCGTATCCGTTAATATTCAATAATGGAGGTGAATAAAAGCGGTCATAATAAGCTACAAGACGCGAAAGTAATTTTTTAAAATTTGTCTTTATTATTGACTCATAATCAGTATTGTCTGAATTTTTTCAGTAACCTGGACATGTACACAGAAACTGTATCCTTTAGTATGTGTTGAAATAGTTGAAATTCTAAGCTACACGGCATATTTTACTTAGTTTTCGGAAAGATTTTATACGAGTGGCAAGTTACTTCGCCTTGTCATTCGTATTTTTGTTATTATTTTGAAATTATGCATCTTATATCACACAAACCATCAAATAAAAAGTTTTATCAAATCGTAAGTAACTACATATGAAATAATAGCTGGTTTTATTTCCTTACGATCAAATATCTTGAAAAAACTATCTCCTTAACTCACTACTATCGTTTGCAAATTTAAACAACAGTATAGTATCAGTTTCTACCTGCATTATTTAGCGAAATGGCCAGAGTATATGCGTGTATTAGAATCACCTACTCTAACTTGTTTTGAAACAAGTCATCATAAGGTTTCAAATGTTTTACAATCGGATAACAAACAGGAGTCAAGTGAAGCACATGTTCCTTCCACCAAGGAGTCGTCGATACCATCCTCTTGTCAACGGCTAATGGGCTACATGATGGCGAAATCAGAAGGTCAGGGAACCGATTGGCATGGTCATGTTACAGCATTATCAGTGGCACCGGAGTATCGGCGTCTAGGATTAGCCACTCAGTTAATGCTGGAATTAGAAGAAACTTCTGAACGGTAAGATCTGCAAAAACTAAAATCTTTTTAATTTTTTTGAGTCATGTAAATGTTCGTGATATCCTTCTATCTGAGTATTTTCAAGACTTAAACTCTACCAATTTGTCGTTTTGCAACAGTTATACAGTATCCGCTACAGATTCGGAAATACAGCTCTATAACTATTTCGATCAATCTTCTTGATACATGCTGTAAAATAGCAATGAATAGTAGTATGGATTAAAGCCAAAAACGTGTGCATACACAGAAAGGCAACTGTTCCCAAATACTTTTAGTTTCTGTTTATTCACAGTTCAAATGGTTGCCAGCTACATGAATATCAAATTGTTTAGACTACCATTCGATAAAAAATTAGGCTAAAATTAGAGAAATCCGGAAAAATATTATCTATAATAAAAACAGTGGCAGTCTAGAATACAATACGCCAAGTAGTTTGGCGATCACCTTATCAATGAGGTCTGTCTTATGGGGACTAACAAGCTGAAATCAGAAAGTTTACTTCTTTGTAGAAATGTTGGTGAATACAGCAGCACTTTTTGGAATATATTAGTATTTAACTTTGCAGACAATATTCGTTAAACGGTAATTCTGAGGAAAGCACAGTTGCCCAAAACAGATTTTTCATGGACCCAGATACAACCCACACTTATTATGTTGGTCGTGACTACTCTACTGAACTCTGCAGTCGGGGCTCGAGCCCAGAGCACACACTACTACAAGAAACTATTCAGGTTGAAGAATGGAAGAAATAACTAAAGTTTAAGCACCACTTTTGTCACTCTACATTTCCGCAATATGTTTTGGTGGATCAGTCAAAATTTGTATGGCATTAAAATACTACTGTAACGACAGAAGACAAGGGCCAGGCAACAGATCGTTTATTGAGAAAATCAAGAGGTATTTAAAGATTTTTATGTACATTATAGTTAGCGAAAAAGCAACGTCTTCTGATTGGTTGTTTTCTTGCTTAAGATTATTCTGTGGCCGTTTCTCAGAAAATCAAGCCATATATCTGCGATTCATATTTCCACACGTTAACTCCGCTGTGATTTTCTCAAGGTTAAGCTTTGTTATTGTTTTTCTCATGACCCAGTTCGGGACGTATATTGACGTAAATTGCTGTCTACAATTTCTGGCTTGCAGCTAGCTCTCACGACACCACTGCTAATAGTTTAACATTTTACATAATAAGTAAACCATAGTTTTTCCTTTTGGGTTTCACATCCTATAGAAAACGTTGTTATTACGTCGATTTATTCGTGCGGGCCTCTAATAGTTTGGGAATAAATATTTACTCTAAATTGAACTACATTATATATCGCCGAGTCTTGAATTACTACTGGGGTTCCGTAGAAGACGAAGATGCTTTTGGTAAGTACATGGTTGCACTTTAAACGTTTCTTTAAATATTAGAGAGATGGTACAGTCTACGTATAATTTAGTGAAGAAGTAACTAGCTCAACATAATGGCCAGTTCATCTTAATATTACAGCTAGTGTATGTGTGGCTCATTGGTTTAATAGTCACGCAATGGACTCTTAGTTCAGATCCCGTTAAACTTTGGTCTAAGAAGCAGGGCTTAGAACATAGAACTATGTTGTATTACTATTAAATCGTTAATCATTCGAAACGCATGCTTAAGAAGCTCTACCGATGTTCATCTCAGACTGTAATTAAGCATTGGTCTTCTCACAGAGCTGTGACAGCTTCAAAATCCATTAGAAACATCCCTACGTCTCCTTCTTCAAAGGAATGCGTCTTCGTCGCTTTTATCTATGAGGTAGGCAGAAACACAAGCTGTAAAGACAAAACACAATGGTCTTTGGTAACAGATTATTTATTTGGCAAAATACAAAATTCTAATATTGAAATTTCAATTAGTTTTCTGCTTAAGTTGTCTTCATACCATACTTTTTGCATATTTTCACAATGATCTTCATTTCTCCTGTTTGGGACTTAATCTTGCAGGAAGTATCAGCACACTCTACTTACAAATCCTTGTTAGTATTAGTCTAAATTAAGATGCAGAGACCTGTTGACTTTTACGAGGATATAATTGCTGCTTCCTAACTGCCTTAATTGTTGTTTGTGTAGCAGAGTAAGTACTACAACGGAAGTCTTTATCTTGTCGTGTTGCTGCCGCGTTAACATGAACACCTAATCACGTCCGTAGTTGAAGACTCCGTGTTCTTAACTTAATCTCAAACTCTGCGAGCTGCAGCCGTTATATAAGCTATGGCTTGAGAAAAACCAGTTGAATCATATCACGAATATTTTCCAAACGAAGGAGATAACAGTAAAACCTATTGTATATATATATATATATATAACTTGTCAGAGAGTCATTTGTAAAACACTGTTGTTATACTATATGAAATACATTCTCTGTAACTTGTCTTATTCTTAATTTTTTAGATATGAGGAAAGCTCTTTCAGCTGATGTGCATAAAAAGTCCATCATACCAATGACAAGACCAGTACGCCCAGAAGAATTAGAACATCCATGAGTGGAAACCTACTTGTCGACCACAGAGTACAGTCTACTGCTTGTGTCAAATGTGGTGTTTTACTACCCGGGGATTTTCATATTTGCACCAGTCTGATATTATTTGAAAAACAACAAATATAAACCAAAATACACTTTTTTTTAAACCAAATCCTTTTGTTTAAAAAGAATATCAATATATTTAAAAAAAATATTTTGAGGATCGACCCAAATAACCCTACAAGGAAGGAGTTTCCGTCTTTCTTCACATTGGTCTTACCGATTTTGTTCTACTAGAAGTATAAGTAAGAAATACACAACAAAAATTAAATATTAGTTACCGGTTTAAAGTGTGTTGATGAATGTCAAGGCAAACAAGCATACTGACACAAAACTCATTGCTACAATTGTATATCTTTTTATGAAGACTCAAGTATGCTAGACAGGATAGGGGAAATAATTCTATCATGCATAAAATTTTATTTGATAAAATCACACAGTGTTATATAGTAACATTTACTGATGACGTTTTGAGCACAATTTATTGCTGTTCATAATCATATCAAGGTACGTCTCACACAACTTCTCTATCGCTTCATTTGTATGCATGAGTAAAAACTGATTAGACATATGAATAAAATCAATATAAGATGAAGTACATTTGGGTATAATATTAATGTTATCAATAAAATACCATGAGATGTTTTTATATTAAGATAAATAACTTTTTAAAATGTTATAATGTGAATTGAATATATTTCAACATTATTTATTATCCTCTCATTTGACTGGTAATAATATCTTTCATATCTGTAGTATTTGCGCTGAATCACTTTTATTGCATGTGTTGCCTGTGTGGACTCGACGAACCAGGATTCAGTAATCAATCTCTCTACCTGCCTACCTATATTAGGCTTTAAAATTTTGACTCTGTCCCACCCTATTGTGTGGCTCTGTGTTAATGCATGCAGTGAGATTGCTGAGCTTTTTTTCAATACTGCTTATCTGTGTGGAGTCAATCATTCTAACTTTAGCTAAATTATTATCTTCTGATAATCTGATTACACCCGATCTACTAGTTTGACGTAGGTAGTTGACCTCACAGTCATTGCAAGGTATTTTGTAAATTGTATGACTTTTTTTAATTGGGTCCACCAGGTCGTTTAGCCTACATAGCTTGTCTCTGGGTGAGTTTGTAGGTTTGAATACCGCACTAATATACCGATCAATACGGCCGTAGAAGCTAGTCTTGTACTGATTTTATTCAAATGTCTAGTCAATTTTTACTCATGTATATAAACGAAGCAAGAAAGTTATGTGAGACAAACCTTGATATGATTGTGAGCAATAAATTATGCTCGAAACGTCATCAGTAAATATTACTGTATAGCGCTGTAATTTTATCAAAATAAAATTTTATCCATAATGGAATTATACTCTACCACAGTGCACAAGTTGTATCCTGATATCAATAATAGACCGAGGGAAGTTAGATATTAGCTATAGTCATTCTGTGCCAGCTCCCGCAGTACATTCTAGACGCCTTAATCCACAGCTTAATGAAAGCGTACAAATTTTACACGGTAATTAAGTACTTCTTTCATAAGTCAAAAAATGTTTGTCGACAATTCTTTTAACAATAATCGATACATCCACAAACGGCGAGAATTATATTCTCTATCCTATATTTTCATTCGATGTGCTCCGAATGGGACATACAGCTTTAGGCTTTGAAGTTTCAGTAATGGTTTCACCCTCAACCTTCGCTCTTTTCCGGGCTTGCTACCGGTTAGATGAGGCTTAGGAATGCGTCGGACAGGGATCGAACCCCGGACGAAGTCCGTGGCCAGCAAGCTTCACAATGTATATATTGTATAGAAATGTCTGTTGGTCTTTCTAAAGGGTTGGTAATTGCCATAAATGAACTTAAAATTAAGCAAATCTGCACACTTTGATACAAACAATAATCCACAGAGAACCTATTAGATTACAGCTAGGCATTGCGTAAACGTTTCATTCAATTTATGCTTTCAGAATACTGTTTTGTCGCTTCAACTCCGACGAGGCTGCAGCGTAGTTAACTAACTCCTGGTCTTGATTATCGGATCAAGAGTCAGGAATTTTTATTTAGTGTGATACTTCTGATCAGATGTATAGAACTTGGTTGCTGAGTGACATAAATGAAGTTTTTCAGCGAAATAAGTAATTAAACATTTAACCTCATATCATTTGGAGCTTCTAAGCTTTAATCTGTGGGAGTGGATTTCAACTAACTCTGATTCCTGATCTACCTACCTATCTGTGAATAGCGGTGTAACACTAAAATATTCTAATAACTAATGACTTATTAGAACTTCACTGAAACTATATATATAACTCATATCAAAAACCCGAGGATGAAATTTTATATTTATGTAAACTCAACATATGACAGAAGATCTGCACAATATAACATTATCGGCGTTTAAAGTACACAATTCGCTTACCGTATATGATTCTGCACAGCGGTATACTCGAACTTCATAATGTTATTTATGTTTGTAAAGTCTTGCAACATCAGAAACTGACCAATCCGGCTAAAAAGAAACAATAATGTCGGCTTGAATAACACTTAGTATTCCGAAAACAGTGTAGATATGCAAGAACAGAGCACTTTACCATAACTAAGTCATTAAACAGCATAAGAGATAAGTCGTTTCTGAGTCAAAAGAGCGAAACTTAATTGCTTGACATGTTACTGGCGATCTTCACTATCACGTGCTAATGTTAAAAGTTTACTACTAAGTGATTTGACTTTTAAGGAGATCGGCTACTGAATGGTATTATTAAACCTGATTAAGTAACATGTATTGGTCTAACGAGTTTTCCTTACGGCTTATTAAAGAGAATGCAGCACTCTTATTCTGCAGGAATTAGACATTTTCACAATGAGATATCCAGCGGAGCATTTTCGACGGGTAGGGAGTCGAAAACTAAAGACTGAAATAATGGCGGTAATAATCACGGCGACAGGTATGTCAGCGTAGGTCTATGAACTGCCGCAAATATGTTTTAGTGTGGTGTCAAGGAAGAATTTTACGGGCAACTACAAACAGTAATGGACGACATCTCGATGGGATACATCGAAATCCTAATGGGCGATATGAATGCCAAACTGCGAACTGATAATACAGGAAGAGACCTCATTATGGGTCCAGAGGCTCTCAGCGAATTATTTGCATACTTCTGAGCTTTCAATGATTTGCTAATCGGAGGCAGCGTATACAACCACAAAGACACACACAAAGCAACATGGAATTCACCTGAAGGACAAACCACAAAACAAAGAGATTTCCCCGCAATGCCGTTCAAGGAAGTGGAGACAGTCTTCTGCATACAAAGTCGAGAAAGGGAGTCGGTGTAAGCTCAGATTGTCATCTAATTCAAGCAACCGTCAGGCTGAAGATGACAACCGTCAGAACAACTTGAGCACTCAGAAACCTCCATTACACCCATCAGAGAAAAGTAGGAGACATTGCGTGGAATCACTGAAGAAACCTGCGTGGAAGAATACTGGAACTCTGTGAAGTTGATGTTCAAGGAAACATGTACAACTGTTTTAAAAAGAAAGAAGAGCCAACACAAGGAGTGTCCCTCAACGAAAACTTACCTGGCAGCCAATCGAAGAGAGGAGGATAGTGAGGCAGAAGACGAACCAATGCAAAGATGGACAGGAGAGGGAGAAGCTAAGCTAAATGAACACTGCACTCAATAAAGAAAAGAAGAAGAGTGCTAAGAAAGACAACAGACAATTCTAAGACACACTAACGACTGAAGCAGAACAGGCACGCTGTAAGTAAAAGAGACCTCACAACACCATGTCAGGTAACCAGAACACTTTTCGGGAAGAGATCAACACAGGCGAAACCTGTAAAAGATGGTCGAGGGAACCTAATTACCAAGGAGGAGAGACCAATCAAACAATGGGCTGATCACTTCAAAGGACTCCTGAACCGACCATCACCTGCAACTCGTCCAGAAATACCAACAACACCTCGCACATAACTGTCTGCCAGTGGACACCAATCCTCCAACGAAAGCAGAAATCTTGAATGCAACCGAGCTACTGAAGCCTAGAAAGGCAGCAGCACCAGATGGAATCCCCCCTCCCGAAGCATTGAAAACAGATCCAGAGACTGCAGCAGATGTGTTGACGCCATTGTCGCAAAAAGTTTGGAAGGAAGGAAAAGTGCCTACTTATTGGAAGAAAGACTATCTTGTCAAACTACCAAATTAAGATGACTAAGGCTACTGCAAGAGCTGATACAGAATAATGCTCTTGTCCACTCCAAGTAAGATACTAAGTCGCCTCATCCCTGAGAGAACAAAGTATGCACTGGATGCAGGACTCCACTCGGAACAAGCTGGATTCAGGAAAGGTGAATTGTGTGCTGATCAAATTGCAACTACACACATCATCATCGAACAGAGCATTGAACGGCAGTCACATCTCTACCTCAATTTCATAGACTTCGAAAATGCCTTCGGTGGCGCAGCGTTAGCCTCAAAGTAATTTGCAAACTCTCTCAACACTATGGAGTCCCCCAAATCTTTATCAACTTCATCCAACAGCTATATGACAATGCCATGTGTCAGGTGATCCACAACGGAAAGCTCAGCGAGCCGTTCGAAGTGAATACAGGAGTAAGACAAGACTAGCTGTCTATTATCACCAGTGATACTCATAACTGTGATGGACCGGATTATGCGTTAGACTATGGGTAATGGGAAAACAGGAATACTTTGGACCACCGATAAGAAGACTCTAGAAGATCTGGATTTCGTCAATGATGTATTCTCAATGTCATGGAGACTCGAAGACTTGCAGGCAAAAACCAACAAACTGGCTGAAGAGGCAGACAGCGAAGACAGGACTCCGGGTGAACATAAAGAAGATGGAGGTGATGAAGACAACCAACAAACAGCAGCAGCAACAACAACAACCAGCTCCAATCACCATCAACGGGAGAGATTTGACGGAGG